TGTAGGTTGATCCACTTCTATTCCGTTGGTGATCACCTGTATTACTGTATTCAGTGTGTCGTCCAACTTCTGCCTGCGTGCAAGTCTTAGTAAGTCTTGTTCTACAGCAAGCACTCCGTAAGCGACATCGGGCAACTCCGCCTCGTCTGCTGGTCTCGGTAACAAATCTGCTAAGACATTTTCATTTCCAGGAAAGTGTGAGATCGTAAAGGCGTACTCCTGAAGACGCAACATACACTGTGACAACTTCCCCCGTGGGTCTCTCGCTATTTTCAAAAACTGTGGCGGCTTATGATCAGTTTCGACGTGGAACCGTCGGCCGTGTAAATAAGGTCTCCATTTGTTGATCGCCCATACCATTGCTTCTTTCTCTATCGTTGAATACTTTTACTCTGTGTGTGTCAAAACCCGACTGGCATATTCAACAATTCCCTCACCGTGTCTAAGGACGGCACCTATGCCGTAGTCACTGGCATTTGTGCACACTGTGAACTGTCTCCTAACTCTGTATCTCATGCCATTCGCAAAAGTTAATATTTCAGTCTCATCGAGTAGGATACCCAACAGAATAGTAACAAATGCATGTATTGATAATAAACGTAGAATACAAAATCAGTGACACTGTAGAAATCCCTTCAGCAACAAACTCCAGCGGTAACGAAGTCACCAAAATTAGCAATTAGCTAAAACAGGGAACAAGAGTTCACAAGATGTGTACATAAGTAACACTATTAATACAACAATCAATGAATTAAGACGGAAAGATGTACGTACTAGCAACTTATAAAATTAGTGTGCAATTACTCAATCAATATTTTCAACAGAGAGAAGATTGGACGTAGCACTTGTTTCTAAACCTCATATCCATGACATTAGGTTTAGTTTATATGATTCCAAGATATTTGGTAAGTTTTATTTGCTCACATGCCTATAACGAAGTTTTAGGACAACAACAAAATGTGAGGAAAGTCATGAAACGAAAAACAGTGACGAAACAAGAGAAAATGACGTACTTGTCAGATGAATGCCGTTGCTTACCTGATCACGACGATGTTTAAGCAATTGAAATGCAAGGAGGCACTAAAAGAAGCTGTCTTAGTGAGCATTTACGCTAGATAACATTTTCTGAAATTACTGGGTATTGCAAATATTCGTAAAACATCACGTAATTTCCATCCAAATGTGAACACTACTTTTCCTGATGTCTATGCATTCGATTTACATTTTAGCAACCGAAACACTGGAGAAGTTTGCAGCAGCCCGAATAGTTATCACACTTCTGGGTTCCTGCCCCAGAAATAGGTCGTGAATATCAGCCGACAGAAAAAGGTACCGCCCAGTACAGGTGCTACCAAGCTGTAAAGAGAATTTTTAATGCCAGTCACGGACAAACCTAGCTGATATTAATATTGTGTCGACAGCAGAATGTGAGAGGTTTTGTATGGCATCGAAGTTTGGCTGCCAACAAAATAAAACTAGCAGACACCAGAGAATCAGTAAGCACATAGAAAACAGAATGTGGTCAAAATTCCGTCTGCAAGAATCAGTCAAATTAATCATAAAGGCGAAGAATAAGCAGACACTCTATGATGTATCAGTTCAACCAAACGTAATATCGAGAGTAGTAAGGCAACTTTATTATCAACAACCCAGAATCACTTAATAACAAAGAGGAGCATTTATTGTAAGTCTGGACCAAAACACGGGCAGAAGGATAATTCAGAGAAAACATGATGATGTCAAAATGGTATTACAAACGTCGTGGACAAGAGATAATAGCTTCAGAGGGAGCAGAAATATTTAAATGAATAGTGTGTCTGTAAGCCAGTTTCAATCGCCCATTCTGCCACACGAGCGAGGATAAAAGCTATCGTGATGTATATTCATGTGAGTATAGGTTGTCATGTCCATGGCTAAAGAAGAACTATAATAGCCTGTTTTGATAAAGACGGGGAACGTGAAATTAGTTTTCGACTTCTTCAGTCCAAATGATCATTAGTTTTTATATTTTGTCACGTGACGATTGTTTGCATTTATTGGAGGATTCGGAGGCCACTTGTTTGCCTCAAGTAAAAATCCAGAGTAGAGTCAACTCTTAGCCATATAACTGAATAACTCATTAATATTGTGCTTAATCTGGATGAAAGTGTCACTTAGATTGTAGGGAATTCAGAGAATTGGGAGTAATATACCGCCCTAGCACATTGCTGCTTTCCTTATTTTGTTAACACATGTTCAAACTGACGATGGGAAACTTATCAGCCTGAAGAAAAGGGTCACAGTATATTAGTTGTACGAAAATGAACTTACCCAATTCATTTCCTTAAATTCTTACAAATTTTTGTTTAGTTCAGTGCAGCCATTTGATTGGATTGAACCTCTTCGGCTGCCGTTTTATCTGTTTAACTTTATCACATCTCTATGTTAGGAATAACATACTCGGATTTTAGTTCACTAACCGTTACATTTAAATTTAGTTCTTTTTCTAGTAGTTTTATCTCACTACAGCTTAGCTCGCTTGATGAGAGGTTGGTTGAACACTTTGTTTTGTCAGTAGTAGTAGATGAAACGTTGTTGTTAACTTACTGATATATTGTGTTCTGTTTTTCTTCTAATAATTCGTTGAATTTCTTAATTTGCGTGTTTTGTGATTTCATGGAGTTTATTCCCCTAGCTTTTCTGGATGTTTCAATCACAATTTAAACTCCAGCGCAAAATACATAGACAAACAGATGGTGTAGCAATGGGATCACCAATATCCTCTATCGTAGCAGATATTTTTATGGACAGTTGGGAAAATATTGTTCTAAATACATTTAATCCTACTCCAAAGAAAATATGATGGAGACATGTAAATGACACTTTAACAGTATTAAGGACAGAACATATCTCTAGCTTCTTCAAACACATTAACTCACTGGTAAAGGGAATAAAATTCACATTTGAATCGGAAAATGAAAAAGGAGAATTATTTATGTTAGATTGTAAAAGGGGAAGAAGATAAACTGAACACTAGCGATTATAGAACGCCAAGGCATTCTAATATATATTGAGACTTTAATTCATCTCATCCGTCATCTGTGCAAGAAGGATTAGTTAAGCCTCTGAGAAACCGAGCAGTAGATCTAAGTAGTACACCAAAAAACCTAAATGATGAAATAAAACAGATAGTAGAAGCGTTATTGTCAAATAACTGTCCTATCAAACCCACTAGTAAGATCAAAAAGGGTCAAAAGCAAAGTAAAAATAATAATGAAATTAATAATAACATAAGTTACAAACAATATAAGGCATCTGCAGTTTTGCCATATAAGGAGGGGACATCTGAGACCCTACGTAGCATCTTTAATAAGGTAGGAATTGCGGGTGGCATTGAAACCTATACACTCACTCAGGACAAGCTATGTAGGCTGAAGGACTCGGTGAACACAATTAGATAAAATAATATAATTTACAAAATGTCTTGCAATGACTGTGAGTTTAGTAAACTACAAAGGTCAAACTGGCAGATCGGGGATAGTGAGACTGTCAGAACGTAAAAACTTAGCTAAGGTGAAAACGACTGACCCCTCGGAAATAAGTAATTAATAGAAAAACAGCAATCGCACTAGATGCATTAACACACAATAGCGTGGAAAAGAGCCAAAATCCCAGAAAGTGATAAAGCTACGTGGACAGAGATTGATCACTGAATCCTAGTTCATCCAGTCTACACCAAACACATGCATAAGAAGTGACTCAACGCAAATACCAGAGATTTCGAAGATATTATTACTACCAGTCAAATCAGAGGATAATGAATAATGTTAAAATTCATTCTAATTTACATTATAACACTCTAACAAGTTATTTATTTTACTATAAAAACATCTTATTTCCCATCTTATTGACTAACAACACTCGTCTTATTTCCCATCCCATTATATTAACAACACTACTATTATTTCCAAATGTACTTAGTTTTCCATTGTAGATTCACTACGAACACGTCATCAGTTAATATTACTGTATAACACTGTGTGATTTACCAAAATAAAATCTTATCCATAATGGAATTATACTCTACCACAGTGCCCAAGTTTTATACTTATATTTCCAGATGTACTAATTTTTGCATAGTAGATTGACTATCAACACTCGTCTGAATTCCCATCATATTACATTTATTGATGATAACGCTAATATTATTTCTGAATGTACTTCATCTTCCATTCTGTCTCACTCATGGCTATTGAACTTTTATTGATTTTTAATCACATATCTAATCAATTTTTACTCATGTATATAAACGAAGCAAGGAAGTTGTGTGAGTACGTTGATATGATTATGAGCAATAAATTGTGCTCGAAACGTGGTCATCAGTAAATATTACTGTGTAACACTTTGTGACTTTATCAAAATAAAATTTCGTTCATAATGGAATTATACTCCATCACAGTGCCCATTTTTCATTTATAAGGTACAGCAGTCTACCGAGTAGTAATGAAATGGGAAATGTGGATTTGGGTATCCGAGGGTGATATGATAGAGATCATGTGAGCTTTTGAAGCTCTGTTTTCCACTCGGAATCCAAGGGAATAATAATAATACTGTGACTATACCCTTGTAAAGCATAATCCAACGACTGTTAGTTATGAATATACGTTTCACATGTTGCATTACACTTTTATCACGATGACTACGTGTAAATTGGCATCCTTTATTTAAAATTTTACTAAAAGTAAATTATCATTACAGAAAGAAATATTTTGTAGTTAAGAGTTTGAGTCATCTGTATCCTTCCTGTATTATTGTGATTTACAATATAAAAAAACTGATGTAATATCGAACGGAATTCCTATGAAAGGAATACACTGATTCCGTTTTCCGCACTGAATTCCAGGTTGTTGCAAAAGAAACTATAAGACTCACCTGATATTTGCGTTCAAAATTACTTTATTATTATTTGATCAAACTCAATACTTCAGTAATTTATATATATATATATATATATATATATAACCTTTTGTAAGAAAAAGCTGAAGGAAGTTAAAAAGGAAACGAAACGTTCATTTGCAACCAAATACTAATAATATTAATAGCAACATTAACACCAGTAATAACAATAGTTAAAATCGGACAGAAATCATAAGAAGGGAAAGAAGAACCACAAAGTATGGTCATTACATTAAAAAACCAAATTCCTTTCTAAAATATACCTGATATAATAATAAATAGTTTTTATTTGATTTTGAAGAATAAAAGACTTCTGTACTGTCAGTCATTCCGCTTGTACATACATTCAAATTGACTTTGCATCAGAAGGGAAGGAGGATGAGTGAGTGAGAGAGGAGAATACTAACAGCATAACAATACGCCTTTCCTTTTTTGGAAAATAAACATGTGGAAACTGATATACTCTATTGGTTAATTCAATAATTTATTAGAAAAAAACACTTCGATAAAGAAAGGTGTAAGAAGGAAGAATCAACAATAAATTAATTAAACTATTGAGTTCACATTTTCACTTAACAGCCAATGTACACAACATAGTTTTCAATAATAATTGTTATTTGAATAATAATAATAATAATAATAATAATAATAATAATAATAATAATAATGGTGTTAGTAGACATGTCATAATAATAATATTATTATTAATAATTGCAGTGCACACACAAAATGCTTTTGTGTGCTTGAGAAGGGTGTATGCGTAGAAACAGCTGTGTACACATGTTATGTATATATTCATGTGCAGGGAATACAATTTAGTGTGAAGGTGAAGGGGAGTGGGTTATGAGAAAACAAAGATATGGGTAAAACAAGACCAAAAACAAACTCACGGAGGAAAGACAAGTGATTTGGGCGATAAAAAGTTATGCTAAGATATATATATATATCTGGACATGGAATTTAGATTCTGATCACCAATGAAAAAGATGGACCAAATGATACACTAGGGGAGAATTACGATAAATTAAACAAATACTCCTTTAGTGAGAATAAACTATAGGTACTCTCCTCCATACGTACACACATGGGTGATAAACTCAAGACAATGGTGACAAGATCAGGCACGACACTAAATAAGTGAAATCACAGAATGTTAGACAAAATAGTTTGCATGAGATGAATCAAAACAATTAAAAGAAGCCCTGAGAACCAGTATTACCACCACTACTACTACCACCACCACCCCCAGTATCTCCAGGACCGCAATGGTCATATGAAGGTTGTTGTCTAAGTGATCCGTGTAAGGCATTTTGCATCATATGCTGTGTAAGATCTTGTGAGGTCATGCCAAAAGGGGGTCCAAGACTATCTACCGAAGTATTACAATTAGTGTTATTGGACAGACCAGGACGCGTATGTACACCCTGATGACTAAATGATGTCCCATGACGACTACCTGAAGTTTCTGTCTGGGGAGGTAGAGATGTATGTGGATGTTTAGGGATATGCGGCTGTTGTTGATTAGACATCTGCATGCCAGCTAAATTCGATGGTCCAGAGACAAAACGATGTCCAGATGGATTTGTCATATTATTTGTTACCATGGTGTTGCGAGATGGATAACACGTATACCCACTGGTCATATTACCACTAGGTGTTACATGGCTTTGAGACTGAGAAGAAAGATAGTGATCTCGTTGATTAAACAACTGTTGTTGAGAGTACACAGAGTTTTGTGACTGAATCTGTGGCACAGTGTTCCGATGATAAGAACTGACAGAAGCAGGTCCAACATTGCCTTGAAACCTCGCATTACTTGAGGCAAAATGAGAATTCGATTGTGGTTGCTGTTGTTGACCATGTAGTAGTACACCAGTAAGTGGAGAATTGTGAATTGGAGGTTGATCCATCATAACCAAAGGTTCAGACATTTGATTACACTGCATAGGAAGCGGTGTCTGTACACTGAGACGATCTAGTGGAGGTCGGTTGTGTGAGTGACTGTGATAAGCACCATTAGCTGGATACGGAGTGGTCATACCAGACCGTTGAGCAATAGATTGCTAAAAAATGTTCAAAATATTTTTCAAAACAAAATATAGAAAGAACAATTTAAATTATGAATTATTAATTAATAACTAGACTATACGAAAGAAATATTAGCTATCTAGCACAGGTTTTATTAGGTATGTGTACTGAAAAGGTGTTTTTACAAGCTTTATAAAATTCATGTTACCTCTGAAATTCAAATTCTTGTCAAAACTCAAGAACACAGATAACCTTTGCAAGACTTTATATGTATTTATACATCAAATTACAATGCATCACATTGGACAGTAATGTTTTATTAAATAGCTTAATGAGGAAGACATCACTTATCTGAGTGACAGATTACATCCAAACGATAATGTCATCGACCTCCAGTCTGAGCCACATAGGGAGGTGTATGTTATATTGCCTGACTTAATTGCTCAGTATATGAGGAAGGAAACACTAAGTGGAGATTCTTGGTGAAACAACTCTGTGGTGTGGAGGTGTTTACTCACATATCATCATATTCAAAATTCCAAACACTTTTATGAAATAACTGTCAGACAATTTCTCTTCTTCTCTCTATTCTATTTTTAAAATGATTTATAAATCAACCTGATTCATATAAATGCATTACTCTTATTCACTGCTGATTGATTGAGATGAGTAGTTGGATGTTGCTTACTTCAATCAATAACGCTTGCTAGGTGGCAGACAGACGTGATCTAAACACCTGGAGAGCTGTTTCACTCGTTTGGGGATGTTCTCATTAACGGTGTACCCAGTATGATTCAGCTCATAAAGTCCAATCATTTCAAAACGCCGGAATTCTAGCCGGCGTTTAGATAACTTCAATCTGGTTATCAAGGACTAGTAGTGGCGGCTGTGATTAGTATCTATCCAATCCTTTGCCATCATATTTAATTATGCTTGCTTTTTGATGACTTGTCACCATTTGTGTTATCAAACAGATAACATATTTATAAACTAAATAGTTTCAGTTTCTTAAAAAGAAACAGTGGTAAAATTTTTTACCTCGAACTGTGTAATTTGCGAATCGCGAATTTGATTTAATCCGACTCATAAACTTTTCGTGCAAAAGTCGACAATGGTCGAAGAGAGAGTATACTCTACACAGAAAGAATTTGTTCAATGAAACGACAAAAAGAAAATAATAAAGCAACAGATAAAAATAGTTACCTGAACCATTTGTGAATTGAGTCCTGATTGCAATGTACGTACTGACTGTTGTAAGATTGTACTACCACCTGGCATAGAAAGCTGTGAATTTTGTTGATGTCCAGCAACAACACCATCTGATCGATTTGTTGATGACAACCAGTGTGTTGATCCATCTGACTCCGATGGATACGATGGTATACACGATCTTGTTTGTATGTTATCATGTACATTATGCGGTGAAGGAGTGGATCGTTGTTGATTTAACTGAATGCCTTGATAACTAGTACTAGTATTCATTGTTTGTGATTTGGTTTGTCCTTGTGTATTAACATGTGGCATATACTGTGGAATGTGCGATTGATTATGATACTGATATGAAGTATTTAAACAAGACGATTGAGTATTGCTACATGAATTTGTATCACACAGTGGAATACTATTGTTGTTTCCTGCCTGTGAAGTTGAAAAAAAAATAAGTACCCAGAAATATCGAAATAAGTAGGCGTTACTTTGGAGGAAAAATTCGGTAATCAATGCAGTATAAAAGGTCGAGTTTGAGAATAAATACTCGGCAATGACGTTGGCTAGAGGTGGGGCTAGAAATCGTAAATTGGTTAACTTACAACTTGGGTTACCAAAAATCCATCCATAAATTATATTGCATCTAATTTCTCGTGTTTAATTTGTTTTGACCTATTACCTCACTAAAATATGACTTCTAATCACATTGTTTATACTAGCAAACATTTAAAATGCTTAGAACATGCAGATTGTTAAATTTCCACTAAACCTAAGAAAAAGCATCATTCCGGGTGGTGACATGTTTTAAAACGTTTTCAAAATGACTGTTCTGGAGATTATGAGTACAAATTGTCACTCCCTGCCAGGTAAAACTAACTGTATACAATCTCTTGTATCCTCCAATGTATACCGCTATGCAGGGATTATAAGTCTTCAAGAAACTTGGCCCCATGACCAGTATGGTGATAATTTAATCTGTCTGAATGGGTTCATATTATTCAAACAAGATCAGTGTCACTTTAAGAAGAAATAAGGCGGCGGCGTTACAACCTTCATCAATTCTCAGTGGTGTACTTCCAATAATATATGCTTTAGATTCTCAAGTGACAAAGTTGACTACCTCACTGTTATATTTAGACAGAAACACCTGTCCAAATATAACCACATACACATTTCTAGCATTTATATTGCACCCGGATGTAGTCTGTTAGAGCTATACTTATTTGCTGACGAATTCACCTCGTTTTACTGCCACCTCCCTTAGCAACTCCTTCACAGTAGTAACTGGAGTCTTCAATTCTTGTGACTACAGTCTCCTCACATTATTAGGTCATGAAAATACTGTCAAATTCCTATATCGACTAGACAATACTCTTGATCTAGTGTTTACAAATGACCGACATATTTAAAGTTCGGAAAAGAAATGTACTACTTAACTCGGATCAATGTATTATACAAATATTGCCAAAGTACGTCCAAGCTGGACAAAAGAGTCTTCTTGAACCTTCGCAAGAAAAGAAAACATACTTTTATTATGGAAGAAATTTTATTTTGATAAAGTCACAAAGTGTTACACAGTAATATTTACTGATGACCACGTTTCGAGCACAATTTATTGCTCATAATCATATCAACGTACTCACACAACTTCCTTGCTTCGTTTATATACATGAGTAAAAATTGATTAGATATGTGATTAAAAATCAATAAAAGTTCAATAGCCATGAGTGAGACAGAATGGAAGATGAAGTACATTCAGAAATAATATTAGCGTTATCATCAATAAATGTAATACGATGGGAATTCAGACGAGTGTTGATAGTCAATCTACTATGCAAAAATTAGTACATCTGGAAATACAAATATAAAAATTGGGCACTGTGGTAGATTTTTATTTTGGTGACGTTTCGAAACGTCATCAGTTAATATTACTGTATAACGCTGTGTGATTTACCAAAATAAAATCTTATCCATAATGGAATTATACTCTACCACAGTGCCCAAGTTTTATACTTATATTTCCAGATGTACTAATTTTTGCATAGTAGATTGACTATCAACACTCGTCTGAATTCCCATCATATTACATTTATTGATGATAACGCTAATATTATTTCTGAATGTACTTCATCTTCCATTCTGTCTCACTCATGGCTATTGAACTTTTATTGATTTTTAATCACATATCTAATCAATTTTTACTCATGTATATAAACGAAGCAAGGAAGTTGTGTGAGTACGTTGATATGATTATGAGCAATAAATTGTGCTCGAAACGTGGTCATCAGTAAATATTACTGTGTAACACTTTGTGACTTTATCAAAATAAAATTTCGTTCATAATGGAATTATACTCTACCACAGTGCCGAAGTTTTATCCTGATGTCAATAAATGAAAACATCAATGTTACTCTCATGACATTACACAGAATCTAAGAAGCATGTTACAAGGTACAAACTGGGACTTATTTACTGAACAGGTTCTAGATGACACAATGACAAACATAATATTTTATCTCAAATTCGGTCTGCATGTTTGTTGTCTGAAAGGGACATCCTCATTAAGATTTGGCCGCTTTTCTTCTGCTCAACTCAAAAAGCTTCGGCAAGAAAATGAAGGGTTACATAAAATGAAAGGCAATCCTGGTGTTAACAGTCTGGACATTTCAATTAATTCAGAAATACAGAGATTAAGGAGGATCTAAAACCAAAAGTTCTTATTATGCGAAACTTTACCAAGTGTGTGGAAGCTATTTGGGGAAATCACCGGTGGTGAGTAAGTAAATGATGATCAATCTTCAGTTGATGCTGGTCTGCTTAACAAGTCCTTCATTTGTTGCCCAGCTAATGTTACAATCTTGAATGCTACAAGTGAAAATAACTGTAACCATGTCTTCAAGTGTCTCAATTACTTGACAACCTATCCGGTCCCTTGGTCTAGATAGTGTATCTGCTAGTGTCTTCAAAAATTGTTCTGACACTTTATGTGATCCTCTCACTGGTATTTTCAATGAATCACTTCCCAGTAACACTGTGCCTGCTTCTTGGAAGGACATTACACATGTGTGCAGAGGAAATGAAAGTTCACCCTTAACTATTGCGGTTCAAGAAGACGACGCGTGATATCACTTGAAAGCATATATATTCTAATTTTTTCTTTAACCAAACTTTGATACTGATACAAGATTGCCATATTGCACGTCACCCACAATAAATGAACACGATTGACCTGAAGTATGTGCGACTGGTCTATTTATGCGCTGTGAATACAGAAGAACTTAGTTTTCCTTATTTACCTAGAGGGAAAAGTGCATCATGTAACTGAATAGTCTTTTAAATGAACAAGTGATGTCTTTCTGGTCTTCTAAGAACGATCGAACAATTCTAAGTCGCAGGAAACTTCTTTCATAAAACATCGGAAAAACACTGAATGACAATACAGGAAGAACACATCATACAAGATTATTATGCAGAGATTTCGGAATAATCGGAATTTAACAAGACAATCCCTGAGTCTCTGAAATGAGTTACGGTTAAGTCCATTAGTATATCTATGATGAAATTGAATAGAAATGCCGCGTTCCGACCAAGAAACATGACGATTGTTAGACACCGGTGAGTATGCCTATGTTCCAGAATCTGTCGAAGGGTGAAAATATGATCAATACACCCTCTTTCTGGTCTAAAGCCTGCCTGGCTCCCTCGTGTTTGTGCCTCCCGAGCACCAGTTAGTCTGCACAATATTATTGAGCCTAGGACTTTAGATACTATATTAGTCAAGCTAATCCCTCTGTGATTATCACAGGAAGACTTGTCTCCTCTCTTGTATATCAGGATAATCAGTGACTTACACCAATCCGATGAGACTTTCTCTGATTCCCAGACGCTGCCTAGTACCTCAGTTAACGCAGACAGTTAACTGTCTCCACCGTACTTAAATAGCTCCAGAGTCATTCCATCAGGCCCCGCTGCTTTGCCTTGTTTCAGATTACTGACAGCCTTAATAACCTCAGTTAAGGAAGGAGGACCTGTGTCTATATCCCATTCAGGGAGGTGTTGGATGTTCAGCAGGTTGAGCGTGGCTACAGGCCAAATGAATTGCTCCTCAAAGTGTTCTTTCCATCGTCCCAGTCGTCTATTCCTGGAGCTAAATATGGTGTCATTTTTCTCGGGGATTGTCGCACTTATCATTTGCCTTTTACCACCTGTTTCCCTGATAAGCCTGAATAGTTGTCTGGTGTTACCAATCGCCAATGCATTTTCCATCTCTTTCGCTTTTGTCACCCATCACTGTTCGCGGTCGTTGCGAAGACTTCTTGTTAGTTTTCGTTTGAGCAGCTTTCTCTCCTCATCACAATCGGAGCTCGCCGGAATCAGCCTTATTGCGTTAATCATTTCGGATGAAGTGGTAGAAAGCCAAAGGCTCTTACTAACTTTAGGTTTCAGGTTATTAATAGCTGTTCCATATTAGTTTGTTTATTAGGTATATCACACAGTGAATCAGTATTATTTACTGGATGACGTTTCGAACAAAATTTATTGTTCATAATCATATCATGATATTGATATGATTATGAACAATAAATTTTGTTCGAAACGTCATCCAGTAAATAATACTGATTCACTGTGTGATATACCTAATAAACAAACTAATATGGAATTACTTACTACCACAGTGCCCAAGTTTTACACATATATTAATAGCTGTGTCTACACCTAACTGTGTATTGTGCTAGGCTTCCTTAGGAAGAGTCTTGGTGTCTAGCCCAGAAACTCGTTTCGCTATTTCTTGCTTAAATAGGGACTCAGTGTCTTGATCTAGTTGGGGGCATAACTGCTTCGCCGCCAACAGTTTTTTTATGTCAGTTTAAATGTAAGCGTAAAAGTGCGCAAAATAGGGAGTCATCGGAGTCTACGCACATGTTCCAAAACGAGAGACAGTCTTTTACTCACATTGACAAATTAAGTAGTGGCATCACTGGCATCTATTTACGATTAAACAAAATTTACTTACATGTAATGTATTCATGTATTGTGAGTTGACATTCATCATAATTGCTTGATTTTCAGAATTTCCTTGAGGGAATGTCTGAGAATTCGGATGTGCGCGTGGAAAATGATTAGTAGTAGACTGAACACCACCACTGTTATTTAATTCAGGAGTTAAATTATTACTATTATTCGATCGTGAATTATTAGTATAGCGTCCCAATGAAACATCTTGTCTAAACTGCTCCGAATCATAGGGGATGAGACCTGTAACAATAGAGAAACAACACAAACAACAAAAATTATTACTATTACCAATCTTTGAAAAAAATCAAAATAAACACAATGTATCATATAAGCAATAATCTAAATATTACATTTTCAAATAATACTGTAAGACATACTGATTTTGAAATAGTAGAGAATATCTCTGTGATATACATTAGCTAGTTATATTGATCGGAATGACATACAATGAAAACTGAAGCTGATACAAACTAACAGATCATGTGGTGGGTGTTACTGACAACATTTCGTAAGTATTATATTGCGTGTGATGTCTTCTGAAGAAATATAGAATACCGAAGGAAAGGATTAAATGGCAAAGAGGGAGAAATAAAAGCTCCTTGCGAAACAATAAATAAAACATGAAGGGAAGACAAAAGAGGTACAATACAGAGAAAATGTGCAAACAGACATTATAAAGTATGGGATATGCATTTTGCCATATCTGTGCCTCAATTTGTTAATAAACAGTTCCGCTAACCAAATGCTATTGTGTTCTGCTGTTACAGTCACACACAAAGAAGCGTTATCCATTTTAAGAGGAAAATCAATAACTGAAATATCTGTCTCAAGAATGATTTTATTTTAGGGGAAAAAATACTTATCACAGAATACTCTTAAATCGAATTCAAACACCAAACAGATGACAAATAGACCGAAGGATACAATTTACATGTAGTATAGTTTAAAACTTTAGAATATGTATTATCTAAGTATGGAATTTATGTTAGATGGTTGAAAGCAATCGGTTTGAAGTCCTGCATCTAGGTTTTGTGTTTGTTTCAATTGATCAGAAAGGTGAATCTTCAATCATGAAGGAGTTCATGTCCCCTCTGAGATTTGGACCCGCGTCACCCAGAAGTGTTAACACTGAACTATTCGGACAGACTATTCACCTCCTGTAAGACTGTAATAAATACACTGATTGGTCAATAGGGAGTAACTAATATCATACGTCTAGTTCTTGGTGGTGCAGACAAAATTCCATCAGTTAATTAAATTTGCCATGTGGTCACCAAGCTAAGACGTCACTATGACGACTTCAGGCATCTGCCATATATCTTGGTTTAATCACCTTTGTAATTCATCCAGCTACATCCACCATCTGCCGGCGTGACACATTGGGATTACAGGGTTTTATAGATGATGAAATTGTAAATTTTCCTCAGACTTGAATTTAATCTAACATTAACAATGAAAGCAAGGGCGTTTGTGGTAGACTGCTCACCAACCCCACATGTGATCGAGGGATCGATTTCTGGTCGACTCACTCCTACACATCGCGTAGTTTCCTAGCCAGTAGTAAACTCAGGAAAGACAGAAAGATGGACATGAGGCTAGCAACAACATCCCGCAGCAACAATGTTACCGCAATTTCAAAGCATACATATGAACGCAAAAAGGAATGAAAAGAGACATTTGCCCACTTGTGATCACAGTTAACCGAGAATATATTCGAAGAGTAAAGCAACTGATGGTTGTACATTGATCAAAAAAGACACATCAATAGATAATTGATTGAGCTGTTTGATAAAAATACCAATGAGTAGACACTGGAAGATCGAAACTTCAAGGAATACTTATATTTAATGTAGCACAAACTCAATGATCGAGATGCGTAAGCCAACAAGTCCACAGGCAGAAAGGACAGGAATTCAAGTGAACATAGAAAAGACAGAGGAGATAAAACTACCTAGCCGACAATAACAAGAAGCACCAACCATCATCAATAGCAGAAGCCTAAAGGAAGTCACATAACAGGACAGCATCGTTTCACCTACAGGCGGAGCAGATGAGGATGTCAAAGACAGTAAGGTTTGGAATGGCAAGATGGATGTTCATTAATTTGAAATCAGTATGGAAATTTACTGTATTCAGTATAAGGAAGAAGATTTGAATTCCCAATACTTAATGCCTATATGGTTCAAAGTATTGACGTTCAATAACAACATTCACACGAAGCTGCAAATTTTCATTAATATCTACCAACTTCGGTCAATAATGCAGATCAGATAACCTGCAAGAGAGAATAACCAATACGGAACTGTGGTAACGAATCAGAAACAAGAACTTATTGCCCAACAAATATGCCGAAGAAAACACAGATAGATTGAATACGCTTTGAGAAGACTGTGAGTAAATTCACACGCAAAACAGGCTGTCGAATTGATCCGAATGAGAAACGAGTTAGGTGTGTGTCCAGAGTAGACAAGAAGAAGACTGTGAGAGGAGGATATGAGAGCTTATATAGGCTATTAATAACCATGATTAATATCAGCTTTTTTTCTTAATGAAAAAGGCTAGTTGAAATAATGATAATAAAATATTCCCATTCTTCGTACATGAGCAACGTCAGTTTACAGGCATCATCAATATGGTAAATTACATATACGATTAGTAAGCATATTTAGTAATGATAATATAATAAGGTACATATTTATTCCTACCTATGTAGGACACATCAATTGTACAGGCATAGATAAGTATTATTTAAATTACATAAATTTGGTTTATGGTGAAATTACACGGTTGCTGTCTTTTTGTTTTGGTTTATGGGAACAATCTGATAACTAGTCATTAAGTGGAACACATCAAGTAATATAGAAATATTGTCTTCGCATTTAACAAAAAACCCAAGTATGTTTTGGATGGATTACAGATACTTGGGAAAACAATAAAGCTTGAAGTCATTTCCCTCATGAAACTTTGGTGTGTGAGGCATCGAATCTTATTCTTGATTTATATTCAAATAAGGTATTAATTTAAAATAAGTGATGTATCGGTATAATTTTGTCAGCATTTTTATCGTAAGTAATACATGAACCCTTATTATAGACGGCATTATTAGTATTACTATTATTATTACCAGTACCTTACATAAATAAAATAGAAATAATACAGAAGATATGCACTCACGAAAAATTTACACATGCCTTTTTTAAAATTAAAAAAACAACAAATACGGTGGGTATACAATCTAAGAATATATATATGCAGACATGTATGCACTTGTCTGTGTGTACTTGAAATACCAATTCATTGACAAAGTGCAAGTACACACTTTACAAAGGAAATGAAATTTATGTTTCCCTACTAGTTATCTTTTTTTCTATAACAAAAATTTGAAAATCATAATCTGGAGAAGTTGAAAGATACGTTGAGTAGAGGAGGAAAACAAGTTAAATTTATAATTATGCTTTGGATGGATCTTAGTGTTTCAAAAACGGTGACCAAGAAGTATTTTATACCTCTTTATACACAGGGCTCAAACTAACGGTCAAAGACTTCAAGAAATGATGACAAATTTTAATTTGCCCTCGTCTAACTGTTTTCCAACCTAACCCCTAGGTCAGCGATATAGCTCAACGACGAAGGTGATGGATGGTTTGAAATAAGTAAGTAGTACGTGTCGTAGCCATCTAACAATAAAACGAGATATACTGGAATTCAACTACCTGAAGTTGACGATACAATACAACCGTAATCGAAATCCATCAGTAGAAATTCTTTATCACTACGGTATGTAAAAATAAATAAGATAAATATGTAGAAAAACACTAATTTTTCTTATCAACATTTTTATTTTGTTTGTATTCTGCTTTACTCTTTAGTTTGTCCCTTCTTCCATTAACACCACCACCACCCTCAACATCAAAATCTGAGCTGAATACACACTTATTTTCCTGAAGAAAAAAAGGACGCCCATTCATACAATGTAATAAAAACAAAACAACATGAATTTCTAATCTTCATCATCATAGAGGGCGTTACCTGTTCGTATATCAACCAACATTTCACAACACATGAGCAGACACAAATACAATAAGTCAGGTGCTAAAATTATATATATATATATATATACATACATATATATATCAGATCATGGTTGTATGCAAATACAACTGATGCAAGTAGACGGGATGAAAAAGTGGATACATACACTACAGATAGAACAACTAATGATAGTTTCACCACATAAACAAGTTTAAGGTTAACAGACGCATGTGTGATTTTATGTCATTCAAACTACGCGTGAGTGTGTGTAGGCTTGAAGATGCAACGACAACAACACCAACATCTATCAGTGCCAGTAAAGCAGTGAACAAAGATGAAGTTAACCAATAGAGCAGAATATATATATATATATATATATATATACATGATGATAATGAAAAGCCCTTCTGTACCATAACTCCAATAATTTGTGCTTATTATATACATGCTTTACTTCTAAACATGTGTTGTGACAGTAGTTATCATTTATAATATTTAGAGAGTGATGTAGCATTATTAGTGGACGAAGTATCTATGATTAATGATTATGATTTGTGAAGAATTCCAACATCAGCAACAACGTTGAAGAGAGTATAAAACAGATTATTAGATTTAATGCATACATATGTATGTATGTCTATGCACATACATACATTCACGCATGCTCACATATATAAAATAAACAGATATTCACACACACATCGTGTTCGCTTTGTTGAAAAGTTCAAAACCACAAAAATAAAAGCAAAACTCAACAAATAACGATCAATAAAAGATAATCAATCTATTTATTTCAATACAAGGATAATGTTCCCAAAATAAAACGAAGCATATTAATAATTAATGTGTATACAGAATACTATCTATTATTTACAAACTGTGTAGAACACATGGAAAGCCCCTGAATAGAGATGAGAAGGTAGGAAAGGAAGAGTGAGACACATAATATCCAAACTTATAATTTCCCTCAGTGTTTTGCGTGAGTGAAACAGTTGTTATCGATTTGCCTTCCGATCCACATTTAAGAAAGAATTGATACTTTAACATCGAAAATTACTGCCGGCAGATTTCAATTGTTGCGGCGGCAGATTGACTAGCTGGCTCGATTCCTATTGACTGATTCTTAGTGTTATCTCCACAGATGTACAACACTTTCCCAATAAAACGAAATGATTTCATCAGCCAGATTAAAACATGCAAAACACATCAAAAGAAACTTCATTTGAATCGTAAACTAGTGAGAATAAAAAGAGGAATCCGTCAACGCGACAACACAATAATGACACACCTCGAATTCGCAGAAACCATCTTTCATTAACATTCCTCACAAAATATTCATAATTAAATCTAAATCTATCAAAATCACTTTTAATTCTAGTGTTTTACATTACATATAATCTCAGCAGAACACCTGTGTTTTATATACATGGGTAACAGAGGAGTAACAAAAAAAGACAAATATGTTACTGAGGCACCAATAAAACAAATAAGCGTGACTTTCAATAGGCACACATTACTCTGTACTGTAGTCATTAATGGGCATCTATTTTATAACTGCACACAGTGCAGGTTGACAGAGAAGTCATTCAACGTTTCGATATACCTGATGACAGTTAATATAACTTCAAAATGTATACTACTAACACTTGCCAAACAGCTTTATCAAAACAAGAATTTTCAGACAACTTTGGAGAATGAATCAAACAAAAGCTGTCAGTACGCTGACACATCAAACAATCTGAAGCAGTGAGATTATCTGTGACATCCGGCTGGCTGTCGACCAAAGGGCGTGTGTACTGCTGGGTAGTTCTCTCTGTCCTACCCTATGGCTAGCTGTGAGACATGGTCATTGAAAATGGAAGATATGGAAAGGCTAGCTGTCTTCGATCATAGGTATCTGCGTTCTATCTCCGGTGTGAATTTGTATAATATGGTGAGCAATATTGGGGTGATACGTCGGTCGAGTGCCAGGCAGGGGGGGAATCAATCGACGAGGTTGTACAGTTACACAGATTGAGATGGTTAGAACGTGTGTTATGCATGCATGCCTAGTCATCGCCTTCCTTGCCAGTCAATGTTTGCTGACATGGAGTCAGGTGGGAAAAGAGCTAGTGGTGGTGGCCAAACGAAAACACGACTTCATCAGTCAATGAAATCCACAACAGTTGGTTGAAGCCAGTCACTAAGGGAGGTGTAGACTACTGTGTGGTTAGGGTCCTCATGATGGTGAGAACCAATAACGGTTGGAGATAAAAGGTGATATGGCTCAAAATCGTTCTTGAAGGCTGGCGCAGATGCATTCACTCTTTGTGACTTATAATATCCAATAGGATTCTATTGTTCTTCCATATGACTATTATTTTTGCCTCACACTTCTGTTTATTATCTCTGTCTTTTGAATCTCTCTCTACTCTCTTCTCTTACCTTTTGTGCTAAGTGAAGTGTGGTAACTCGAACTGCTGCACGTCTGTGCAAAGTCCTATGTTGAAACCAGTCAGTCAGGAAGTGAGATTAACACATGCATAGTAAATATTAGAAACATATATTTTTTGATCAGTAATTGCACATGCAATTACATTGTCAGGAAAATGATATCAGAAGAATTGACATACTTTTAACCTTTTCACATTGATAACAATACACGAAAATGTCTGATTCACATACTAGTTAGTTTAATATTTTTACATTCCAAGTGACATGCTATCGTCGTAATCATTATTTATTTAAATGAAGATTATGGTGGGAGGGTTCCCCATGATACTGTGAATTAATTTTCACTTTAAATATAGTAATTATAAAGTGGTGTGTTATACTAGCCAGAATTTTCAAGTAGTATATTAGTGTGGTGTCTTGTGCAAGAAAATTAAATAACTGAGAGGCTGATTAAGTTGTGATTAGGGGAAATAAAAGATTCCTGTGAAGCAGTAAACGGAAAGCACGAAGAGAAGACAATATGAAGCACAAAACCAAGATCATGTGCAAAATATAAATTTCAGGCATTTACACTATAACTGTATACCACTTTGTAGACAATTCGGCTACCAAATACTACCGTTTTCTACACTCTCACAGTGGGGTAGTGTGATATAGACAATGGGTTCCAACTGAATATTCTCACAGTAAGAATCATTGCATTTGTTGGTGTTAAAGTCTGGATACTATTCCCACAGTTCAATACTGCATTAGCAACAGAATATTGTATATGTATTTGAACATTCTATTTCATATCGTTTAATATAAACCAAAATCGCACCCTCAAAGATTGGTTAAAGAATATAAACTGTATAGATATAAATACCCGTTTGATCATTTGGAAGTATGCTTTGGCTTCCGTGTCTTGCCTTCTGCTGTTACAACAGTAGTGATTGTAACAATTGGATTTTAAAGGATTGTCTAGAGCCATAAAAAGGAATTATACTGCTGCCACCCTTTGTTTACCACTTCCCAGCAGATCAGTTTTGACTGCTCAAGTGAAAGATAAGCTACTTAGTTGTGTCATTTTTATGTGCATTCACAAGTTTACCTGCTTCTGTGGAGAAAGCTTTATAGAAGGCGAGAAAACCAGACAGCTTAAAGGCATTAATGAGCATCTTTCTTCATGTTTCGGAAAAGATCAAACGAAATCTGTCTCTGTGTCACCCCATTTGATCAAAAGCGGTCACCTTCGTCTCTCCCTTGTCCAAGGTAAATTTAATTAACTAATTAGAACTTTTCTTATGCATCACTTCTTTCTGAATTTTGTGACAATTATTTAATCTCCCAATTATCTGTCCACTTCATCTTTTAGTGTTACGCAACTTTTATTTTTATAAGATTTTGACCGAATCTAGATTCTGAACAGTTTACCTTATCATACTATCTTCATTATTTCTATTGCCACCTACTTCAACTGCTTGTACTATTGTTATCATCGATCTAATTACCACAATTCTTCTTCTTATCATTATTATTACTATTATTATTATTACTTAAATTGTAGATATAAAGTGATATGAGAAATGAAAAAGTGGTACGTATTGTAATTTGTTTTTTCAACAATATAACCCATGTAATCAATACAGAGTCGCCCAGTGGATGATTCTTTGCGTAAATTGCGAAACAGCTGTCAGTGGGAGTTGACATCCCAGTCATTTTTTATCAATTTCAACTCTGAAGAAATCAAGTAGCATATATATATATATATGTATATATATAAGTATATATTCTATAGTTTGGTTTGTAAGGGTTGGTTATATTTTTACAAGTTGATCACGGATTGATATCAGTTACAGAACCATTGAAAACCAGGGAGTACTGGACAACTGATGTTTCATCCTAGCTGAATGGTATACGAGCTTGCCTTGTAACCGGAAGGTCCTGGGTTCGAATCCCAGTGGGTGCGTTCTGCCGTTGATTCCCAAACTAGGATGAAACAGCAGCTGTCCAGTACTCCCTGGTTTTCAATGGTTCTCTAACTGATAACACTCCGTGATCAACTCGTAAATATATATATATATATATATATATATATAACTCGCTCACAAAAATAAACAATGAAACTCAAAACCTAGTGCTATAACATGAAATGTCTGTATTACGTTACAGTGCATTTAATCAACTTATTACAACACAAGGCATGATTAACAACAACAACAACAAAATCAGCTCACCGTGTATTCGATTACGTTTAGGATTGTATATTAAACAAATGAATCCAACAATACCCGGTTGAATAGGATTAGATAAGCGAATAGAAGATGGAGACAGTATGCCTAAGGGGATCATCATTTGATTACCTTGTGGTGGTGACAGTAGTCCAATTAGATTACTGGCCTCCTTGGCATCCTTGGAGAGAAAAGAGAATAAAGGTAAGAGATAGAAAGAAATTTCCAAAAAAAGAAAAAAACGAATATGGCAAAACAAAACATAAGGAAATCCAGTGGACAGTAATAATTTTCCACATTGTCATGTGACACTACATTATTAGTGTCGTTAGATAAAATCTAAAACTTCAGGGTAATGTATATTTATTAGAACAAACATATATTCGAGTTAGTTATATAACATGAAAATAAGACAAGTCGGATATATATATATATATACCCGTATGGAACTAAGATTTACGAGAGTGACGGGTGTCTAGCTTACGACAGATTTATTTATTCAATACAAAAAATAATCATAAATGCTATTTAAAGTAAGTGAGACATTTTATAACGTTATTCAATTAAAATACAGATAATAGATTTAGTCATAATCATGACATCTGTGAAGACAAGACAAAATTACTTGTAAAATGCGCTTAGGCTACATGTAGGAGTGATTTTTAGAATTTAAATTAATTTTATTCCTTTGCGTTCTGAGTGCAACATGGGGCTTCAAGTTTGAAATGTGAAGTTTGTAGTGTCAGTGGTCTTATTTTTTTACTGGGTGAGGTTGCTAGCCTCACACGCCCAACCTCCCTTATCTTTCTCAGGCTTACAACTGGCAAGGGGAGGTAAAGATGTGCGCCCGTCAGGAGTCGAACTCCTGACCATATGCATGGTCGGTGAGCATCCCACCTCTGAACCAATGACGTAAATGTAAGAGTAATAGTGGTGAATTATTTACTAAAAATAGAAGCGAGATCGATATTTAGGTTATCGAGTTTTGTAGGGACTTCAATTCATATATCACTGAATTCAGGTCCAGGTGACTAGAACAGTAAACTTGCTTGGCATTGTAAACTAAGGGCTCCAGGGTTGACGATCCCTAGTGAAGTTATGAGTGAGCGCTCTAGAAGAGTTCGAAGCTGGGACGAAACAGCTGCATCCTGATTTTCAGTGATCCTTAACTGATGCTAGTTCATGATGAAATCTACACTGAAATTATTCCAAGTCTCTGCAAAAAGCTTATAATCCTTATTTATGGAATAAATTAAGAGATACTTTTTTATTGTGAGGATTTTGTAATGTTAAAAGGCATAGCATATAGTTTAATTGAAACGTCATTCACTTTCAATATCACAGCAATGAAAATGTATATCAACTTACAGGTAAATCAACCAACAGTCGAGCTAATAAATGACCATTAGCAAGAGGTTTTGACAGACGTTCAACCAGTGGACTATCTCTGTAAGCTTGAATGACAGATAATTGTGCAACGGAGCCCCACATTTGCATATTTATTTGGCTGTTGACATATAAAAAGTATGAGAAAATCAAAACAAAATGTTGATGCAATTGTGAAAAAAGGGGAGAGGGGTGCTAAAACATGAATTATTTTTATTTTACTATAATACCGTGAATATCAGAATATTTCACTAATTTTCTGTCGATTGATTGATTTTACATACCTTACACCTACTTTCAAAAATCAAAATAGTAATTAGTCTCATACAGGCGGGCTAGGTACACACACTTTGCAGATCTATTTAGAAAGTGAACAACACATCGACAACAAAAAATATACTTCTTTAAGTTACGTTAAATTAAGCAAACTTTTAGAATAGAGAAATTTTATTTAATAAGAGGTTTTGAAGATAAACAAACAAAGAATGATAATTTGTTTGGCTGGAACACAAACCGAATCAATAATAAAACAACTCAGTGGAAACCATTCAACAGAGATATGAAAAAGAAGGAATATTAAGTTTATTACAAGGAAAGAGGTTGATAAGAAACTAGAAACAGAATTAGATTTTTGATTCATTGAATGCTAATGTTCATCGACTTCAAACAAACCAAATACTGAGAGTTGAGAAGCATTTGGTTTATATATATGTATATATATACCTTGAAACCTCTCAGATGTGAATGCTGTTCAAATGTACCGCATAACTTTTGCAAGGCATCTGACAATACTTTAAAAAGTGCATGAATCCAGTGACTTATTCTGATGGGGGACTAAATTAGTTCTACTATTAGAATTCACATATTCAGCTTGCAGTGATCCTGAATTAAGCACCAAACACCTAGAATATCAAACTATTTATTAGTTATAAAACCCAAAAAGGATCTACCAATATACGATAAGAAAACTATTGGATTACCCTATTTTACATAATGTGCTAATACTATTCGCAAAAATAAAGCTTATTCTTTTATAGAATTAAAACGCATCTCATCAGTCACCTTTACCATCATAATAATGAAGACAGAGTAAATGCGGATCAAATTGCAATGCTACGCATTTCGTCAAGTGGTTCACAACGGAAAACTTAGAGAAGCCTTTACGGTGGAAAACAGGGATAAGACAAGACTACCTACGATATCCCTAATTCTAGTGAGATGGATCATGCAATAGACTATAACGAGAGAGAGAGACGACAGCCATACGTTGGACAGACAAGAAGACTTCAGGATGATTTATGTTTAGTGTGCCACACATTCTCGATAAACGAGGAACATTGGCAACGCACTAACCAAGAACCTATCGCCTAGCAAATATACCAAAGGATGTAAAGATGAAGTGGGTACACTCAAGAGATTGTTGAGTGACATATCATGCCAGTGGAGCCCCTGTGGGGGAAACTGGTTGGGCCTGGGTCCGAGGATTACGTGGAGGAGATGAGAGCTTATGCGCAACCGTGAAGCCAGCTAATAAAGCAGGATGAAATGGAGATGTGCTGTTGAAACCTTATGTTCTGCTGAGAACCCAGGGAATTAGTAATACTAACAATACTATTAAATTTCCAGTAAATTGAAGAGAAAACATGTAATTTTGAGATAATCAAAACTTTCCATTACATAAAGTGTATATGCATACATAATTGTAACAAGACAATTTCAAGAGGAATTCAGGAACAAACATTAACAAGGAGAGGAAAGGTCTAGAAAAGCACACCAATTACAAAATCTAATAATAATATATCTTAATTAACTAAGAGTAGATGAACATCTATACAAAACTATCTGGAAAAGATATATTAGAAGTTTTCATTTCAGAAAGCCAAAAAGCTCTATGCAGGTACAGAGATAACAACAGAATATGAATATGAGAGCTAATACACCGCTAGTCAGGTGTTTGTACACTTGTTGACTTTTAAAGTTTTAAACAGGGAATACGAATAGCTTCACACAAAAGCAGATGTCTACATGATTAATGAAAGAGATGAGATGAAAAAAAATCCAAAAAGTAAATCCAAAAACACAACAATAAAAAATATACTGAAGTTAAAAGAAATAAGCTTGGAAGTAGAGTAATTTTCATTTATCCATTCACTTGCAGTGACTTTTCATTGCATCATAATGAACAGGTGCATATCATTTATGAAATATACATGTGACTGGAAAAAAGGCGGTGAATTATTGACATAAAAGTTCTACTTTTACTACTGTTCAACCACACACTAACTAAATAGTGCTTAAAGAAAGATGTGTAAATTAGACGAAACTTGCGTTAATGTAAGAATGACAAAAACAAATAATTGAAGATGTTAACATTTGATTAGAGTTACACATGTAGTCTGACTTAATCTGGCTAAGTGAGTGGGTTCATTTAAATCAGAAAACTAATTTTTCAAAGTTTAATCACAACTAGTGAACCAACTTCGTAAATAGGGAACCTTTCAGTTAAGAATATATATATATATATATATACATTTTGGCGACAAAAGCAGCTACTTAGTTAAGTTAATGAGAACTCTGAACTAGAAATGCACGACGCCGAAGTGAAAGCTTCACTCGTGGATAGGTCATTAAAACTGAGTAACTGCAGTCAAAGGTTGACATCGATTTCTGTTCGGTACACACATAATTTGGGATGCATATGATTTATCTAAAGTGCTTTCAGTAAACTTGAATAAAAATTATGTTAAATATATTTATCTTTTGAATGCTTTAGTTGAACTATACAAATGACTGATACAATACTTATTGGTGGGGACACATAATATAATGGTTTACGTACATTTCTTAACACAAATAACTAATACAATTTAACCTACTCAATAAGTAACCTATTTCCAGAGGTGCAGAAAGACTTAAGTTCATTGGCTTTTTTTTCTCAAAAAAAAATACCGCGTACATTTGATATTTTGGTTTATAACATAACTTAAAGAATCACTGGCTAAATGACATTCTCAAATATAATAAATAATTCCAAAATGTTAGTGCTGATGATTCTTGTGAGTAAAATGATACTTTTCTAACGCTTGTGCTTTTCAGTGCAGTATCATTTCTACATCTTTCACTGTCTTATGTTTTTTTTTGTAGAATGCAGCAAATAAAAAACTGAAGCATATTATCACAAAATTCTAGTTCGGTTTATGTCTGAAAAGGAGGAGATGATGTAATTCATTCTAAGTTTGTTGACCCTCAAAATCTAGCTTCGTGGAGAAGGTTTATTTTGTGCATGAGTGAAGTTGATGCTAAAAATTAAGGTGAATTAGACGGTTTCGGATTCGAACCTTAGACTTACTACTGGTGGGAAGCCAAGTCATTAAACCAATAATTCAAACGTCACACAAATACGAAATTTTGTTCAGTAGAGATGAACCTAAGGATACATCGGTATATAACTCTATTGTAAACAACTGGATTGGATCAATACTATAAGTCGGTCGGTCGGTTTTCGACATAGAACTTTGCACATTTGTGCGGTAGTTCAAGTCGCCACACACTTTTAGTATTTACTATTAAACAACCAGACAATAGATACTCTTTCACAACAGTGGCCTATAAATAAAATAACAACGATATGAATCATGCACCCGAACATAGAATTCACCATGCAATATCAAAAGACGGGTTTAACTTCCTTAATCTTAATATGAAACGATGGTACAGCCGAAATTTCCAACTAAAGATAAGAAACTTGGACATGACAGTTTCTTTCTTTTTATAACAACTAACTTGACAAATGTAGGCGTTAATTAGTGAGGACACTGTGAAACAGAGTCATGAACCTACGTTCACCTAGCAAGCGGGGAGAAGAGTTGTTTTTTGTTGTGAAATGCCTAAGAGAGAGAATGGATATCCTAAACGCGATTTATCATGAAGTAGGTTGAAGAAAAATTCGGCAGAACGAAACACAACCACAGAAATGAAAAGTGTTTTTATTCGTCTTCAATTCTAAAGGAGATTGAAGAAAAAGAATTAAAAGAAGAGGTAACTTTTTCAGGTAGCCTTTAGTTGATGAGAACCTGAAAAATAAGATGATGTTATTTAATACTATGCAAAATCGATCTTTCATGCTTTATCAAAAAACGGGAATAAACGATTTCCGTACTTAACAACGAAATGGGTTGGGCTGTATAATTATTTACTGTACACAGATGCGCTCACAATAATAAACAAGTGTACAACAGGTAAAATTTGTTGACATAATTAAGTTTTTCAGTATAAAATGTTGATGGTACACATGCAAACAAGTATATATATATATATATATATAACAGATCAGAATTAAAATTCAAGTGAAAGTATTGACTATAATATAATAAATAAGAAAAGAAAAAGAGGGTCGTATACTTAGTGATTCTCAGTAAGTTGGTAGTGTCCTATCTTACTTACACTTTTCTCATCACATAAAATATGCGCCAAATAAGGTTTCGTAGAGTTTATATAATTAGTCATCCAAGCATATAGTCTTCTATAGTTGCTTCTAGTTCCACCTGATGAGATAAAAGAGGAGAATGGTGTGTATGCAGAGGATGCTAAGAGTCCGACAAGATAATATTCTCTAATTCCCTGCATGAGTCCACGTGTCTATCTACAACAGTACTAACGAGTTGATTTAGTGACACCCCACTCACCTTAATGACAGCCTTTATTGCTCTTCGCAATGTAACAAAATCTTTCTAAAGTACCCCAAGTAAGATTAAGTGATAGCAATAGAGAAGGATAAGTATAATACAAGAATGAACAAATTGTAAAAGTAGAGACTCAATGATATCATATTGTCTTAACTTCCTTACATAGAACGTCAAGCGAAATATCTTTCTAGAAATTAACACAATGTGCAAAGACTAAAGGTAATATGCCATTCAAGGTATTTCACATTCGATTAAGTTTCAACTTCAGTGTCATCTATGCTACAAGAATGATGGAAACGAGCCACTCCATGTAAATCACGTTTGCACCTGAAAGTGAAATTAACCACCTGACATTTAGAGGGATTTAGCTTAAGGCCACTCGACAAGGACGACTGACTAATTTCTGATGAAAAACTATTCATTTTGGAACAATCTGACTGAGAAGTAACGCGCATAGAACAGTCAGATCATCGACATACTTAATAAAATTGGCTTCATCAGAATGAGGCAAGTCATGCAGTAAGAGGCAAGGAAACAGAAAGGGAAAAAGAACAGCACCCTGAGGAACACCAGGTAGAGTAGGTGAAGCAGTGCAGGATTTCCCATTGCAAACAATTTACCGCTTCCTATTAGAAAAGTAAGAATGCAACCACTTGGTAGTCCAGCAGTCTGTTTGTGTCACAAGAATCTCGTTTAACAAATGAGACCTAGGAGGAGAGTCAAACCTAGATTTGTAATCTAGGAAGGCACACCGAACATATTTGGCACCTGTGTCCAAATTAGAGACGATGTTAGAATGTAAGACAACATCGGCATCTAAAGTACATCCACCATGTTTTTAAGCAATCTTTCACAGGTGATCAAAAGCCCTTCGTGAAACACATAGCTGAATTAGGAACAAACTTAACCTAATTACTAACAGATAAGATACAAAAAAGTTTGATGTCATCGGCAGCTTGCTATCATTTAAAGAAATAGTTGGTATGGCTTACAGCAGATCAAACAGTTGTTACTGACGCGAAGTGGTTTTCCTCTCACGAAATCTAAACTGTGTATTTATTTATTTGTTTGTTTTCATGTTGTTTTATCAGCATCAGTAAACATCAAATCAATAAATCTATGAACAGTATTGAGAGACATAGAAAGAGAAGGGTGAAGGAATGAACAAAAAATCACACATTAAAAGGATAACAGCAATATGATTAGGAAAAAATGAACTGTTATAAAACCATTTATATACATGCATACTTATATGAGGATGATAATTCAACTTTATTTGTTTTCAATTAAGGTCAATCGGAGAGACAAAATTAAGTGTACATCAAATATAAACAAGAAAATTTCTAAGTTTAATTATATTAGAGAATTGTAATACATCGATTTCATGACCGTTGTCTAACAGATAGCGAGCGATTGCACTACTGAGGACTTTTGTATTTCTCAGAGGCAAGTTTCGCGGAATTTGCTCGCATATGCGATCACAAACCCTTTTTTCTACGACTCGTATGTGTTTTGGCACGTAAATCTGACCGTATATGTGAACAGATTCCAAGGAACTCGCATCTGCGAGGTGCAAATGTGCTTAGTATTGTGATTGTCCGCCATTTGTTAGACAGTGGTCATGAAATCGATACATTAAAATCCTTGCAGAAAATTAGAGTTCAAGACAGCTCTAGTTTGCTAAGTATCACTAGAGCGATTGCCATTAAACGAAAATATTTATATTCTTATACATAAATCTGCAAACAACGCCTTTTTGTGTATAAAGTTGTTAAAAATTGTTGACCTCAAAGGAATAACTGCAAACGCTACACACATACAAAAAAAACAATACACACTACCTCAATCTTGTAGATAACAAATTATTCTAACTGCGATGTATCATACGTTTCTGGTGAAGTCCGCCTTGAATTCTATCAAATCATAATAAAACCAACACTAATTAACTTCAGTCCTGTTCACAATTACTGACTACCTTCAAAATAGATATCTTGAAACTTCTGGTGAGAAGTCAAGATTATTAAGCCAATGAGTAGTCGCACCATTCTATCAAAGAACCATTCAATTTTCATTGGCTAAACTGAATGATAGCATGACAGCCTCTGACTACGATTTCTAGAGGAGCACGCACTGTTGAAGACAGATACATAGAAGGATTAACATGTGTCTAGTGCTGCCTAATTTTTGGTAATTCTCCCTAAATATATAACTATCAACCCCTTAAAATACATCATTTTTAAACACAAAGTATAAGTACATCACGCAAAAGAGTATGTACAGGAGACATTCACGTCATGAATCGAATGATTAATTTCAGAATCCTCTCAACCAAAGGTTGTATTTCTTCTTCTTCTTTCTTTACTTCGGCTATCTCCTACGGGAGGATAAGCCGGCTTCATGAACATCTCGAATCATCGCTGCTCAGGTGCGGCGATCTGATGCAAGGTTTTGCGACAGGGTTATCCAATTCTTGTTCCACAGACGGAGTCCGTAGACGGTTTGTAACCCCAGGCACTCCATATCAGCCTTGACTGTACCAAGCCATGTTTTCAGCTGTCCACCCGTGCGACATCGCCAAGATGGTAATGACGAGGGATTTAGAACTGATTTGACCAGATCGTCATCTGGTCGGCGCAGAACATGGCCAAACTACCGAAGGCAACGTTGTAAGAGAGTTCATGAAGTTTCATGGGAATTTGGTACGAGTGATGTCCCCAGAATCGCTCGGCCTTTTCTTTGAGAGTGCAGCTCTAGCCTTTACACAACCAAGTGTGACCTACAAGGCAGTAGGAGTGGAGTAGGGATTCCACTATCCATTGGCAACCGGTGACCGAAGTTCGGTTCATACGCCTTTTTGAATGGGGCCAGACATCCAGGACATCCAACAAGCCCTTTGTCCATACGTCTGCCGGTGAGCTCCAGTGAGCTTCATACGCCAGTCGGAGGTTTGGAATCAGGGTTTAGCCATCTCCCCTAGACTGTTATCCAATGGACAGTCAACCCGGTGAAGGGCGCCGGGCATCCGCTTTCGCCCTCTCACTTTGGTGAAAAACACCTCTGCCACGTGAAGGCAGTGAGTAGGACTTCCTCAGGAGAGGCTATGTAAGACGCCCGGTCATATGGGAGCATTTCAAGAGGTGTGCGGAGGGGTGGCCAACCCGCAGCGCAAGGCACCCACCCCCGACCATCCTGAGGCTTTGGAGGCAAAGGTTGTATACAACCAAATACAACCAAAAAAAGGTTGTATTTAATTAAACAAAATTAAGGTTAAGTGACTACATGTGTTTTGTCTAATCACAGACTTTTTAGAATGATATATATGAATTAAACTCTTATTGTCATGTACAAATTACAATTCTCACGCTTCACCCTACGAATTATAATACTAATGAGTCCCAAAATCTAAAATAATAGTGCTAATGTAGTGAAATCTACATTGTGGAATATTTCCTGGCATTTTCAAACTAGTCAGTTAAAGAAAAACTAACTTTGAGAAATCTTCCTTAACAATAAGTGAAACGTGTCAAGCACTGAATAAGCAGCAGACGACTTATTATGCTGACGGACATGGCATAAGTTCACATACTGAGAGCTGTGCGCCACAGTAGTTGACATATTCACCAATTATGCAAGCTAAGACTAAATAAATAACACTTAACCGATAACGTTTTGCGTATATTCTTGGCACAAGATACGGATTTTCAACACCAAGGTCAAATCAGTTCTTCCATATGGTTCGGAGACTTGACAAGTCACCAGGAGAATTTTTAACACCTTACAGCGTTTCATCAATACTTGCCTTTGCTCCATACTAAAGGTCAGATGGCTAAACAGGATTGCAGAAATCAGGGTGAAAAGGAGATGTGCTTCTGAAGTCATGTTTCACAAGAGAATAACAAATAAAACATAATGACTTGCATATTAGGTGAAGTGACTACTGACAACATTTGGATGCATATAAACATGGATCAAAATAGCCTGTATATATAGATTAGTTCAGCCTGTTTACAGTTTACACAATACAACAAAATATCAACCTGATGAAAAGAATATGACGTGGTGGAGATAATTTATGAGAAGTGTTACACTAACTTAAACAAAATATAGGAATGAAGACTAAATTAAACATAAGTCAGGCGTTCAACAGGCACGAAATCACCAATAACCTAGGAACGCTTAGTCAGAGCAAGGCAGTGAAACCAGTAAAATAACTCTATACTCATGACAATAAAGGTGCTGAATGAAATGCAAATATTTAACAAGATATCTGGTCAGTTTTTAAGTTAGGTTAGGCATAGATTAGGGTTAGGGTGCGGTTACAGTCGAGTGAAGGGATCCAATTTACGTTTTACTGCAATTTCTCTTGCCAATGTCATTGGTGTCTTCGCGCCACTTGGGTGTCTAAAGTTGAATTTTGGCGTAATGTACGGGGTAAAAGTTAACCACCAGTTATGAGGAATGCACTTTTTAGAGTTGAATAAGTTGAGACAATCTTGGAGTTAGTATCAGCGACCAAATCAATACTGAAAAATTATTGCTGTAGTTAGTTTGAAAACCATCTGGTAATAAAACAAAACTTCGGAAATAGTGTAAAAACTATAATTCATACAAATGTAAATCTTATAGTGATATCAACAAAGGCTCAGTTGGAAATCATTCAGTTATCGTTGTAGTATAGAAATTAAGAGATAAACTACATCACAATCACATCATACAAGCTAATCAACTAGATAGATAATCAGACATATGTTGCGTGAGTATTGATGAAAATAAAAGTCTGAAGCGGGAGTGAAATCAGTCGAAAGTTAGGTGTCTAATCTAATGCGTCAATTCACTAATAAGGGGAATACGCAAATCAAACAGAATGAACTTTCAGTTTGCTACACGGTGACAACAGTATCAAACTGTTAATTCCCTCTATGAAATATTGAAAGGGATAGGAGATAAGAAATGAATGGGAAGACAAAGACCCGCATACCTTATATCACGCACAGCACATTGTTCTAAAAGAAAACGAGTTGGAATACGACCAGTTATTGCCATTCCATTTGGATCAGCCACATGAATTTCACCTTCCCATAATACAGATCTGTTGGGACATAACTGTTGCTGTTGTTGTACAATTTGTGGTGACTGATGGATAGGCATATTAGAACTTGTCGATATGTGTCCTCGACGATGAGTTTGTTGCGTCACTGTCAAACCAGATTGAGTAGACATATTCGATGACGACAGCTGCATTAAGTTGACATCATTCCTGATAGAAAGGTATTTATATAAAGAGAAAAATAATAAGCTTTTAGAGTTGTTTTATAACATTTCATAGGCAAATAAAATCGTCAACGAAATCTACATAATTCCGACTACATGTTTTGATATATACACTAATATGGTGTATGAAAGACGTGAAGAAGGAAGTTAGGTGGCTTTAGAGAACTGAAAAGACTTTGTTAACCATATCTTTCGAAAGCAATTGTAGAGATTTTAGGGTATTTCATCTAATCAAAGTTATTTTCCTATAGTCAGAGTGGTTGATGTACTCACTAAGCGCAATCAGTCACTATACACATCTCAGGCATTTTAGTATAAGAAGAGAAGACACACAGATTGATTGGTTCAAGGGTAAAGTAAATCATTGAAATTAGTAAATTGAGAAAAGCTACATTATGCTTCAGTGATTCAATGGTAGAATCCTTGCCAGCCACGCACGCGATCCGAGTTCGATTCCCAGACAACTCACTCTTAACATCGCCATGTCGGTAATAAACCCGGTAAAGAGGAAAGGTTGGGCGTGAGATTAGCAACCTCACTCCATGAGAAACACCAATTCTGCTGAAAACTTTTTAAAAAAAAAAGTTGAAGCCTTATGTTCCGTTCGGGACTCAAAGGAGCGAAGAAAGAAGTTATCTACAGAGACTAGACACAGTAACATGGACTGAACAAAACATACCCAACAAGAGACGACGAAGTTTGAGGACTAGATATCTTCATCTGCGGTTGTTGTGATGTCTGTTGATGTTGTGAAGTATCTTTGGATATATAATTAGCATACTGTTGTGCATTCAATGGGCTGGAATTAACTGTTGTGTTATTACTATTAATAGAATACGCTGTACTAGTCGGAGTATTTGATCTGGAATGTGACGTGAAATTCTCATTCATTTGATTATTCGGTAATGTTGGTGCTGAGAGTTGATTGCCACGAACAAACTAAAGAAAAGGAGAAATCGACCAAGAAAATAGAAATTTGAAAATTAAAAGATGAGACCAATTAATAAATAAGTATAAAATATAAACAGCAAACTAGTAGGTGACCACAGGATGAGGTCGCCTGCAGTTTTAGTGACAACTCGTGACCACTTTTTAGGGTTTGAGGACAAACACTCATAGACGACATTGGCTAGCAAAGGCGATAAAAAGCTACAGGAGTTAGAATTGCGGAGGGTGCCACCGCATTCCATATCAGTGGCTGAATGGTTAACGACCTCTCCACTTAACCTGAATATACTGGGTTCGATTCAAGGCGGGTGAGCACTGATGAAGAGTCCCGGGTGGGGCGAAGCAGCTGGCGAATACTCCGTGGATTTTGATGGTTCTTGAAATAATGTCAATCCCTAATCAAACTTGAAACCAATCAAATCCGTACGAAATAACACCTGAAAATATAAATTAACAGGTTTACTTGACAGATTTATGAGATCTGTGTATTCACTATTTTATTCATCCATACATTTTAAACGGGCTTGGCGTATATCGTAAACGCCAAAAAGTTTGATATTAAATCTCAATCACCGGGTTATGAATCATGCATGATATATAATAGACTACAATACTACCGAGTTGTCCAGATTTGTATAGATAAAGCTGGATTTCCGTTTTGGCACACATCCAAGACGTAAGACGGTGAATACCAAAGTGACTTTTAACACTTGTGCTTCGATTACGTCAGTAACCAGTTTATTAGGATTGATGCAACTTATGTAAGTGTAGTAACCAACACTACAATGAACATTGTTGAATAAGCTAAAGAAAACATGGTCCCTTCATTTTGCCATCTCAATCTCTTTTTCAGCAATAATGAAATCTACAGCACGAACAGACGTAAAAAGGTACAAAACTTGCGTGAATGCTTACTTATTGTGATTGTATCATACAATCCCAGTTCAATTAAAGTATTAGAGTGAATCCTAACAGAAAGCCCAAAAAAGCCTTTGAAGTGAAAACAGAAGTAAGATAGGGATACCTATTATTACCGACATTTTTGATGGTAGTGGACTGGATCATCCAACAGACTTTAGGAAGCCTGAAAACAGGCATACTTTAGTCTGACAAAAAGATTCTAGAAGATTTGGACTCTGCAGACAAATTATGCCTGTCATGCAAACAACAAGTTGGAAGAAGAAACACCGAAGACAGGACATAATATCATACTTGATCGTGCCTGTAAAAATGGCATGCATTTTCATGTAAATTTATGTTTATATGAAAATATAAATTATTATGATTATTAAACGAACATAGAGAAGACACCGAACTGCCGATAACAAGAAGCATCACCGGAAGCAATCTTGAGGAAGTAGTCTCGTTCACTTTATCTAGGCAACATCGTCTCAATTCAGGCGCCACGGATGAGGACATCAAAGCCAGGATCAGAAAAGCAAGACAGACTTTCATAAATTCTGTAATTAGTCAGGAAATATACAACACTCAGCATAGGGAAGAAGATCGTTAAATTACATTACGAGGAAGGTCCTGGAGTGCAACCCGGATGGGAAACAAGTTAAGTGCGAGTACAAGAGTGATATAAAGTAGATAGTGTGGGGAGATTAAAGCTTGTGAGTAATAATGAAAATAATTAAAAAAGGACTGCAGAGAATCAACCGAAATGGAGACATGCTGCTGAATCTTTATGTTCTACTCTGAATCCAAGGGAGTAATAAGAACCACTATCATATGTAGAAATCAGTTCCAGGTATTTGATATCTAAGCAACTAAATAATTCACTTCAGTATCCTTCAAACATCTTTTTATGGTACGGCATATTGTCTAGTACCCAAAATCGCACCAATTTTGTACTCGAACGATAAAGAAATACTTCGAAGATAGAGTGATACGTCTTTTTGGAGTGCGTTACTACCGCCCTATTTCATAACCTTAAGTCACGTGAGTTAATAGTACTTTGAGCTTTTTATTCACATTTTATATCAATAGAGAAAAGAAAATGAATGAAATCTCTGGGAAAACTATAATATTAGGTGCTTATCAATCCCCACACTCATTTACCCATAACATATTTTCGCAACTTCAACTTCTCAAGCAGACGGGTATATTGATGACATAAACTATACTGAGAATAACAGAACTGAAAAAATCAGAGATATAACCGATTAACGGATGAAGAATGGCAAATTTTCTCGGAACAAAAGCTGTCGAAAGGTGCAAAAAATCCTTACTGACTTTAAAAAGAAAAGAAATACACTGTGAAGACCCAAAAAATCCATGAAGAAGGCTAAAAGGAGTAAAGCCAAGCATTTGAATTAAGTTGCTTTCCGTGCTGAGGTTTTTGGTTGACACACGTTTCGATATCATTCCCCATATCTCCATCGTCAGTGTATATCATCAGGAATTTCGAAAAAAGAGAAAACACAGGAAACTACAAGCCTCGCCAATCGACTTGTCGTGACTGAGTTCAATATCATTTGTTTCTTGAGAAATTAGAAAAAGAAGTTGCATATCATACGAGAATCATACGACAATTCTCATAGGTGAAGAGGCACTGTAATACGGAAATAATTTTGCAACAACTATGTAAGGTACTCGACCATATGCATATAGATTAGTTTCAAACTACAAATAAACATGCAAAAATACCTGAGGATGAATTGACTTTTGATTTCCTGTTGGACATGCTAGACGACTTTGAGGAGAACCCTGTTGGTGGGGAGTCAGTTGAGGTGAATACTGTTTGTTAGACACACGTGATGAACATGGAGATGATAAACCTGTAGTATTCATTGTGGTTGGTATATATTGTGAACTAGGTGAGGCTGCATTAGATGGAGGGCGGAATGAGTTTTGTAGAGAATTAGGTGTAGCAGTTGGACCAGATATTACTACTTTGGAACCACCATTTTGATCATATAAAGACTGTTGTTGATATTGATATATTTGACTAGTGGTACTAAAATGATAATTATTGTATGAAGAATGAACTCCAGGTGGCGTTGGTTGGTGAGATTGCACTCCACCAGAAGCAACTGGTGAATGAAGTTGTGAAACTGGGTAAGTAGCATTAGTTGTTTGTAAAGGTGAAACAGTACCGGCTTGAGATGCATACATTCCTTGGGGTGTAGCGACTGAATCTGAGCCATACACACTACCAGGAGTTTGATCAACTGAGTTGGGTCCAGAATGACCAGTTGATAATGAATTTGCTAAAGGTGTAATCCCCTACACAGAAAAATAATTAAAAGTTGATATTTATTCAAAGAGCTATAAACCACATACAATAATATCTTGGAAAGTGACGATATATTAAACACTTCAAAATCTCGCTTAACCTTAATAATGCACAGACCAGAGATATCAAAGTAACATATTTAGAAATTAATCTACGCATGTACTTTCTAGATGAATCGTACGCATTCAGGAGACAGTGTTTTTCCATTCTTTTGGATGGATGTGGTGATGTTTTTATGGCGTGGGGTTGCTAGCCTCACGCCCAATCTTCCATCTTTGTCAGGTTAGGCAAGGTCTAGAAGTGCGTCGGCCAAGATCTGAACCCCACACCACGTGCGTGGTTGCCGAGCGTAATACCAGTGAACTACCGTAGCGCTGCGTTCCACTTAGTCGCCAAGACAATAACACTATTTCATCTACTTAATCCCCTTTACGAATTTAAATAAAGTAAGAATAACGGTTTGTGAAGAATAAGATTGTACCACCATTTCGTTGGTTTGTCATCAGCTGCATACAGCTTAAGAAATTATTAAATTCCTGTACAGAAAAATTTTGAATACCGGCAGATGTTACATGATGTCAGTTGACAGGAGGCTCTAAACTTGATAAACACTGTTCAGAAAATTACACTTATATAGTTTATACCCAGAGAGTTTCATTTCAAACTGAAATAAATGTTTGCATACAGTGACAAAGCAGTAACGTAATATAAACAGGAAGTGAGTAAAATGATGAGTAACTACAGATTTGGGTGACGTAATGAGTTCGACTCAAATCATAGAAACAAGAGAGAAGTAGAATTATACCACATCAAGAGAGATGTTAAAGCCAAAGATTACGCAGTCAAATGAAACAGAGAATAAAGACATCCAGTTACCAGGGAAAAGAAAAACTGATAATTGTTCCTTTCTGAACACAAAGATTGTGTTTCAGGCGTTTGATAGCGACTGCTTCAAATAACTGAAGGCGAATCGAACTATCTTATCGATTCATAATTTCAAAGGATTTTATGATGTCCACCATATCACTCGTATTGATGTCTGGCAATGGAACTACTGTGAGCGTTTATTCCCTTGAGATGTTGGCATTTTGGTGCATGTCCAGGAAATCGGAGGTGTGCCCTTCTTTATGTTCTCCTAATGAAACTGGTACCGCAGATACATGTGAATTTGTACATACAGTTAGAGTTACCATGAGAAGGGAATCTGTAGACTTTTGATTGCACCGAAGAGCATGTGATCCCATAAACGAGAGCCAACTTAGCTGCAAGATAGTCTATCGCTAGTGACATATTCAATCTTCTGTTGACTACTCTGCAATATTGCCACCTTTAAAGTCGAGTAGAATGAAGACAGGTTTTTTCCCCACTTTGCTTTGTTTGGATTTGAAGCCTCCACATCTTTCGTATTTGTAAATAAATTTCTGAGGGTAACCGTTGTTTTTTAACATCTTTCCGAGATGTGCATTGCATGGCCGTGTCTATTAAACAAGGCTAAGTGGAATGCCCATAATTACACTGTTTGGCGGTAAAGTGTTGTCAAACTGGAATTTTACATCCGTTGTACATATTAGCAGTAAGAGTTTAATAATAAAAATACTGATAATAATAATACTGACTATAACCATAATTAATTTCTTTGGCAACCGAAATCATTCAGATCACCGCTGATGAGCTTGACCCCAAAAGAGCGTAACGGTCGTTCGGAATTCAGATCACTTCGACCTGGCTAGCAAACATAACTAATCGATTCTAACTGTTATACAACTATTCATCTCAATTAATCAGCAGTATGTAGCGTCATGCATTTATACTTGCTTTTTTAACTATCACATACTGTGATCTGAGAAATTTCAATTTCCAGAGAAAACTATGGCGAAATTTCACCTTGAATTGTGTGAATTGGAAATGTTTCGTCAACAACTGACTGAACAGTTGAAACATCATACTTTATATACATACACAGAGACATATACACAAAAAGCTTAAAGAGTTTAAGACAGCAAATATAAACAAATATTTATTCATAAAAAAAACACTAGATACAAAAATATTATTTATTTTAGCTTTATTTACACTGCCTATCTGTATGCCTATGAGATAGATAATGAGGCATAATACACAAAGTGTAAATACACTTTAAGCATCATCAATAGATTATATGTACTAGGTGACATGTGCACAAACGCAACAGAAAGTGTGGTGACGACAAATGAACTGAATTATCTTAAATAATGGAATTTTGCACAAAACTTGCCATACTTTGAAGAAGCTGTACGTACAGGAGTACAAAACCGAAATGTCTGACTGATTGAATTTCAATATAAAATGCATCACTTCAAGTTGCAACACTCCATGCATAAGACAAAGGTAGATAGATAAACGAGAGAAATATAATGGGCAGAAATGTAAGGGAAAAAGAAAGGACAGTATTATGGAATAACACGAAGGTTTAATGAGTATGGCAGACCGAAGAGTGAATACATCAGCATCAAAGCGAATGGTTTTCAGCCACATCACCAATAGCCTCCAAACACCGGTTGGTTGACATTCAGATGATACCAACCGAGTAGTCTAAACAACCATAAACAGCTGATTCAAACCATCTGCCAAAGACTTCATGGACAGATATTGGATTTTGGTTTGACCACCCACTCTTTTCCGATCTAGTCCCATGTCAGTTAATATTGTCCGTCAGAAAAGCCGATAGCTGGGTGTGCACAACACGTATCCAAAGCATTTCAATCTATGCAGCTTTACAACCTCATCGATTGACTTTCCTTCTCTGCCTGAAACTCCACGTCTAACCTCAATATTGCTTACAGTACTGTATTACTTAACACGAGAGATGAATATTAGCAAGGATTTCGAAAACCTAAGAGACTACAAGAAATAAACACGCTTGTATCATTACCCAAGATTTTAAGCCATGTCATCAGCAGTCATGAAGCATTTATTCTCACCATGCTGTGGACTCCCATCAAGCAGTCTACAACTGCCTACATGACCAAGACCAACACAGTCAAAGACAGAATGCATCGATGACACTTTTCTCCTGAAAACCTCTCTAACTCTTTCCCAACCTAGACTTATGTCGCAAAAGTTTTTGAAGAGAATATTCAACACATGACTTGATTAACAGATATAATGTAGACATTGATCCATTGATATGATTATGAGAAATAGTTTGTGCTCGAAACGTCATCGGTAATTATTACCGTATAACACTGTGTGCTTTATCAAAATAAAATCTTATCTATGATGGAGTGATGCAAACCAATTGACCAGATGTGTAATTTGCCCATTCAAATGAGGAACATAACACAACTATACACCATGCTATGAATAATTTAACAAAGTCTTGAAAATTGATTTCATACCTATAGGTATTCGATAGAGAAGTAATATCTACAAGTCTATGATTATTATTATTATTGTTCCCTTGGGTTCCTAGTGGAACATAGGGCTTCAACTGCTCGCCTCCACTTGCTTCTGTCTTCTGCTGTACTTTTCACTTGCATCCATGTTAATCAATACTGTTTCAGTTCCTCATCACACGATCTCCTTCATGTCACCCTTGGAAGTCCCACTCGCCGCTTCCCTTTCGGGTTCCACTCGAGCATTGGCCTGACGCGCGATGTCACTCAACGGCCTCCTCAGCGAGTGTCCAATCCATCTCCACTTTCTCCTGCATATTTGTTGGGCGATTGGTTCCTGTTTTGCTTGTTCCCATAGCTTCTTGTTTGTGATTCTTTCCGGCCATCTAATCTTCAGTATAGAACGAAGACAGTTGTTGAAAATATTTTTGGTGACCCGCCAGGTTTCTGATCCGTATAGCAAAACTGACTTGACGTTTGTATTGAAAATCCGAATTTTTTTGTTGATGCTGAGTGACGAAGATTTCCAGATTGGTTTCAGGTTGATGAATGTGTTTCTCGCCTTCCCGATTCTCGATTTGACATCCTCGTCCGTTCCTCCTGTGGTTGAGACAATGCTCCCTAGATAAGTGAAAGAAGTAACCTCTTTCAAATCCCTCCCGTTGATGGTGATTGGCGCTGGATGTTGCTGTTGTTGTTGGTTGGTTATTCTCATAACCTCCATCTTGTCTATGTTCACCTGCAGTCCTGTCTTTGCTGCTTCTTCGACCAGTTTGTCGGTTTTCGCTTGTAAGTCTTCGATTTTGTGTGACATCAAACATAAATCATCTGCGAAATCCAAGTCTTCTAGGTTCTTCACGTCGGTCCAGGATATCCCTATCTTCTCGTTTCCCACTGTCTGACGCATAATCCAGTCCACCACAATTAGGAATATCATTGGTGATAATAAGCACCCTTGTCTGCCCCTGTGTTTACTTCAAACACTTCGCTGAGTTTTCCGTTGTGGATCACTTGACATGTGCCGTTGTCGTACAGCTGTTGAACAAGGTTGATGAATACTTGGGGTACGCCGTAGTACTCAAGTAGTTTCCAGATTACATTGCAATCAACGCTGTCGAAGGCCCTCTCAAAGTCTATAAAGTTGAGGTAGAGGTTTGATTGCCATTCCATGCTTTGTTCGATGACGATGCGTAGAGTTGCAATTTGGTCAGAACATGATTTGCCTTTCCTGAATCCAGCTTGTTCTGGTCGGAGTTCTGTATCCAGTGCGTCCTTTATTCTCTCCAGGATGATGCGACTCAGGATTTTACTTGGCGTCGACAGGAGCATGATTCCTCGCCAGTTCTTGCAGAATCCTAGGTCGCCCTGCTTTGGTAGTTTCACTAGGTAACCTTTCCTCCAGTCAGTAGGCACCTTTCCCTCTTTCCAGATCTTTTGCAATAATGGAGTCAGCATATCTGCTGTCGTTTCTGGGTCCGCTTTCAGTGCTTCCGGGGGTATTCCATCTGGTCCAGCTGCTTTTCCAGCTTTCAGAAGCTTTATTGCATTCATGACTTCAGTTTTCGTTGGAGGATTAGTGTCAACTTGCAGTTGTGTACGTGCTGTTGTTGGTATTT